TGAATAATAATATTGCTTATACGCCTCTGGACAGAAGAGCTCTGGGGTCATACTTATAACTCTTCATATGAATACAGTTAACCCGCAACTACGAACCTGGTTTTTGAGAACCTGTTAGGCTAAAAATATGCAAGTATATATGTCAACATATAGCCTAAAATTGAAATAGGTTCTTATCTTATTTTCTCAAATCTATCTACATATAAAAAATTATGTACACTAGAGCAAATAAGCTAAGTCAACATTCAGAATCCTCTTTGGAGACACAGGTGTCTTAACACTCCAAAGGCGATGTAATGGCATGCGATTTTATATATAAGGAACAAGCTGAATACACCCTTGATAACTCTTCGCTTCAATGTAATTTTACTTCAGAAAATAATAAAGTATTTAAGAACCCAGATAGCCTAAATTTGTGCTAATTACCATTTATGAAGGAACCTGTTTAGGCTAACTTGGAAAAATACAGGTTCTTAGCCGCGGTTTTTACTGTATATGAACTTTCATTTGTCTGACGGTTTGAAAGGTCTTTCATATGTAAAATTTAACTCTTCATGGCATCGAAGAGTGTCCAGCATCTATTTGAATAAAACTGCTAAATCGAACGCAAAGTCTTAAGAAAAAAAAAGGAAATGATTGCCTAGCGACCGCTGGAGAGAGGCAAACATTAATTGTTCAATCAATCTTGCGGTCAGTAACATAGGAAGCGCATAATCGAGGAACTAGATTTTTCATCCGAAGGGCGCTGATATTAAGGGTTAAAGGGAAAACTTCAAATTTCTGTGTAAAACACTAGAAAAAGAAAATGCACGATAGGATTCACCGCTTAAGAGATTTCAACTTCGAACTTTTTCGGAAGTACCGGTTCGGACATTACAACATACGAAAGCAACGGTCGAAATCTTTAATCCATCCACAAGCTTGACCTATAGTTTGGCGTCTGCTTAATTTTGAAAATAAAATCACTTGTTGTTGTTGTTGTTTTTTTTTTATTTTTTTTAACTTTGTCGCCTTCATTCCACGTCGCGTAACTGAATTTCTTGGGGACCTTACCCAAGTCAAAATTTTGTTGCCTATTTCTTGACGTTCTCGCTGCTGACCTTTGCCGTCGCCATTGCCGAGCTCCCAAAAGAGAGTTTTAATTCGACGGAAGGTTTAAAACTCGGCCGAAATTCGCGTTTTTGAAACTTTGTCGTGATTATTCAAACTCCCTTGGAATGTCAAATGGATATCGCCTGCAGTTATATATTTTAGGGGTACACTCTAATTTTAGAAAGAGAAAGAAAAATTCGTCGTCGTGTGTTTACGTCCTACATTGAAAACGCCGCACCATAACGAAGTGAAGTCAGAGCGCCCAGTGCCTTGAGTTTCATCAATTAAAGGTATTACTGCCAACAAAATCTTTTCACAAAAAATTGAGAATTCATCACGTTTTGCCACGAAAATAACATATAATAAAAGAAGAAATTAAATACGAATTAATTTCTAAGTTCGTTTAAATCCAGTATGAATGAACTAAATCCCTTTACTTCATGTTGCGCATTATACGACTGAGCTAAAATTTATAAAGAATAAAAACAAACATTTTTACCTTTAAACCAAGAAGACACTAAAGTTGTATTCTGCTTTGTTTGCAAAGCGGTGAAATGCTTTTTGATGGATAAACGGAGGACTAGATTTTCACCGCAACACAGAAGATTTTCTTCTCTTTTGATATATAGTCTAAACACCAGGTGCGAAAGCTTTTAAATGAAGGATGCTTTTTTGCTTTTAAACTAGAGAAGACTAATCATCATATGAAAGACACTAACACAGCAGCTAGCGGTATCCGTTTGAGATCCAGCAGCAACAACTAATGGCGTAGAAGCACGCCCACTCAGAGCCCAGTGCGTCATGATGAACCACGCGCAAACACCTCATGGAGTTTTCTTCTCATTTTCAGTGTGAAGTGGTAACACAGTCCAGGATAAAAAACGTCATTAACGCTTAATTTGAATATATTTCCTGCATTTATTACGAAAAAATAATAATAGATTAATTGCTACGTTCTTTTTTCTTTAATTTCCGATAAATTGCCGGATTGCGTTGAGAAATCCGTATCTGTAGCTCGCTTTTTCAGAAAGTACATGAGTCTTCCAAAGTTTTGTTTTTCTGCAAGACGCTGGTTATGTGTCAAACTCGCAAAAACAAAGACCCGAGCCCCGATGTTCAAAAAGTTTCTCTCGTTTGGCGAGCGTCAATTACGGCCACTTCGATTGTCCTGATGAATTGTCCATGTAATTTCCTTTTTAAAAAAAATCAACGCGGCCAACCGACAAGAAACTGATTTTGGCTGTTCCTAAATGATCACCTTGTTGATACGGCCACTCAGAACTCAAAATCAGCGTTAATTCTAAAGGACAGACAAGAGACAAACGATAATAAATCCTAACAAAAATAAAGAATGCCACTGTCGTGACTGTAACATTTCTGTTTAATCTGTTATCATCGGCGTATTTTTTATTTCCAATTTATTTTATAGCCACTGTTGTTTGTAAATTCAGCGATGGTATGTAATCCTACCCGCTAATACTGCCACTCCGTCATACGGGAAAATCGGCTTATGACCAGTAAGTGACCTAATAATTGAGGGGGTTCCACTGTTTTAACGTGAAACACGAGGCAGGAGGACCAGGAGTCTAGTTATAGGCTCCATGAATGAAAGCTGTATTAAGCGGACATTTACGCTGCCCTCGATCTAAGCAAACAGGTGTCTGCTAAAAGTAACCAAAAGAGGTGGCTGTAAAAGTGATTTGTTTTTACAGCCAGAAAATATGGTCGTAACAATTATAGCTTTCTTCGCAAAAGAAGCACACCTAAAGAGAACAGCGGTCTACTGTGGCAAGTCAGGCCTGTGTCTATCAAACCTAATAGGCAGTAAAAAAGAGTTGACTGAACTACAAAACAGTGTCCATGGCTGCCAATGCCAGCTGGGGAACATGCTGTACACCAGTGGGTAAGGTGTGCAAGGTATGATTGGATAATACCGTGTTCAGCGACGCTGGAGGGAGTTGTGCATTCTCAGTTGGTTTCTTTTCAACCTTGTTTCTTTTCTTGTTGTCAACCAGTCGGAGGCTTCACCGAAACTCTACTTTACGCCTATTCCGTTTACACACACGACCACATTTGTTCGTCCCAAACTTGAAAAATTCAGACGAGCACCTCGATCCTTAATAAACGACCAATTTGGTCGTACCCCTTGAGTGGTCGTCGTTTATTCGGGGACCTGCTCGCACTCTTTTTTTTACTTTATACGATTTCTGTTGCGGGTTATTTGATTTCTCGCGTTGTGCCTTGGGAATGTAACTACTGAAAACATTGTGACTATAGCCGAGTCAAAGTAAGTCGCTGGATTAAAAATTGGACCGGTAACTCGCCCCGTGCCCCGTGTTCGGAAATCTGGGAAACTTTTTGCTTGTGGAAACCAGAATCCTGGGTTCAAAAGAAGTCCGGCATCCCGCTTAAGATTGGAGCCCGGAATCTGAGGGCGCTTTCAAAAAGTCAGAACTGGCCGGCCGGACCACAGCCCGACCAGTCATTTTGACAATGAAAAATGCTTTTTTCCAAGTGTTTTTGTTGGAACGCCATCTCCTTCATACATGCTATTTAGGATCTGGTTGGATAGTTTTGGATAGTTTTGAATAAAAGTGAAATTGTCATTATGACTGGAATGGTCTGCAGGCCGGTCAGTTCTGACAAATGGAAAAGCGACCTGAGTTCCACTTAATAGAATCCAGTACTTGGATTACGGAATCCCTCAGCATGGAATCCAGAATTTAAGACTGTCTTGGATGGCCGGGCGAGGAAAGCTGCTCAGTGTCCTAGTTAACGGACATATACTTATGTATTCTAATTATCGGACGCTGAAATATCATCTCTATATAAATATACTATGAATGTCTAGTTTAGCGAGCGGTTTGCCAGTCTTTACTAATAAAATCAATGATTCATCATTTATTGAAAATTGAATAGCGTGTAGAAGCAGGATGGCAACCGTGGGAGGAAGTAAAGACCGTTGCAGCTAACCGAGATAAGTGGAGGCACTTTAGCTTTGTGAAGGCCTTATGTGCCACGAGGAACGAAGAGGATCGCTGAGGTGAGGTGAGGTGAATAGCGTGTGTTCCGTGTAGCTTAGGCTTAGTACAGTTATAATAATGCTGAGCGACGCATTGTCAAATATTTTTTATTGCCAATTTGTTTTATTGATTTTCTTTGACAGGCAATAAAAGAATGAATGAGCAATGAGATTTTATTGACAATACATTGAGATAGAAATCCGAATGGGTGGCCGTCTTGTTTAATTCCGTACCGTTTTGGTTTATTTTCTCTCAACAGGAAAAGCTAGCGTAATTCTCTTCCATGTTGCGTTGGAAGGTAACCCCTAAGTTTGTAACAAATAATGCTCGGCAAAGTGTCCTTAGATCAGAGCGGTTGATGTAAATTTTTTCAACTGAGTCTAACTCTAACAAAGGAGTTTCTTACATAATGATTTAGTTCTTTTGATTATTGTCTTCACCTCTAATCCAATGGCCATTTCCTTTAAAAATATCTCAAAATTATGACGTAGTTTCCAACCTTGGTACTAAAACACTAGCAGTTTGAAAAGCGTATCGACGTAATACGCTCTAAAACACAAGCACGTAGTGAGTGGGAAACCACATTCGTTAATTCCTGAAATAAACACAAAATGTGTCACAATCAATTGCTTTTGTGAAAGTAAACGTTATATTGGGTCGCATATTACAATAGGTTTTGTTCACAGCTCATTAAGAAGAAAGCCCCAATGAACTACCATGCATCATTTGCGAAAGCATAGTCGAAAATAGCGGCATGAGTATGAGTTGTATGTGTAGTTCCTTGTAGGAGGACACAAGAGCACAGAAAGAGTGTTGAAGTTGTTTAAGGGAAGTTAAGAGTTTTGGACGGGTCGATCTCATTTGTGCCGTATACGACGAAACGAAATGGCAGCTTTGGCAAACTGTATTAAGCTTAATTCGCCTCAGTTCTGCAGAGTATTACAGCAGATGAATATTTCAACGCCATCAATTCATGTTACGAGCTTTGATGACGATGCGTACAACGAAAACATGCAAAGAAAGTTAGACGACCCAACTTGGGCTGAATTGGAAGACAAATCCAAGACAGGATCGGCTGAAGCGATGGTGGAAAACTCTTTGGATGATGATAAGAACAAGCAAGAAAGCGGTTTATCTTTTACTAATGTTAATGCTAATGACAATGATGGTGTCAGCAAAAAAGGATCTCATGAAGAAGAGAACACAGCTGTGTTAGAAAGCCACGAACAAACAGCAAAAAGTCATCAACCATCGACTAATGAAGGAAGTGAAGTCTCGTCGCACACTCCAACAGAGATTGAAGACAACCAAGTAGAAACAAAGAAAGACAATTTAAATAAACAAGGCGCTACTGAACAACTTAAGACATCCGTTTCAAGGAAAGCGAGAAAGACTTCTTGGAGCTCAAGCGATACGCAGCGTAATGGTTTGATAAAAAATCCTTCTCCACCGCGGCGAAGATATACGGTGGGTTCAGTTTCTGGGGACAATAAAAATTACAATGGGTCTCAGAATAATTCAAACCTCAACAAAAGGAGGTCTGTCCAAAGCTTTGGATCCACACCATTAAACAGTCGCTTGATTACAGGTGAAAATAAACACTCTACTGAAATTATGATCAACAAAAAGAAATCAGAACGAATCGATTTGTCTTTTAAGAGTGACCCAAGGAAAAGATTGCAAACTTGCGGGGAGCTCGCTAGAACTGAAAATAACAGTGGAGATACGACACTGGACAAAGGCTCCCGAAGATTTGACGGCGATCACAGGGCTGTAGACAACGTTCATTCGGCCCCTGCCGGATCTCCACCGAGGTCTCCAAAAGTGCCAGTGAGGAAAATCTCTGAAAATAGCTTGTCTATTCTGAAGAATGCAGGTGTAACCACAAACACGGACGAAAATTATTCACTAAGTTCTCCCGTGAGGCGAGTTTCTACGTCAATAATTGAAGGGACAAATCCACCATCAAATTCTCGAGCTAGATCTGAAGCAGACAAAAGGATAGCACAAAGTTTAAACTTAGCATCTCCACCCCAAACGCGTAAGTTTAGCTCCCCGAAGCCACCATCGGGGGAAAGACATGCACAGCTGGCCGTCAGAGCAAATCGCTCTCTAAGTAAGTCTGATCTGGATCTCCGCAAGATTGGATCTGAAGAAGAAACTGTCGAAGTAGGAAGACCCGTTAGTGTGTCGTCCCCAACACATCCGCGCAGAGCTAGTTCATCTCTGGGTATCAGTGTTAGCCTTTCTATGAGCAAGTCTGAAACTGATCTTCGCAAGCTTGTGTCTGATGAGGAGGAAATGGAAAGAAGAGGAAGTTTGTCAGCTCACTCATCACCTCGCATGTTGCGCCGAAGTAGCAATTGTCAAATTCAAAAAAGTGCACCAACCTGTCCTGTGACTCCCCAGCAGGAGCGCAAGATTTTTATGGCAGCTGCCAAGCAAGAAGCGCGCCTACCAACACGGGCCAAGGCCAGGAATGACCTTCAAGCTACATCACAGCTGATAATTGAACAGGCAGAGAAGGAACTGAACAAATTCAGCGAGCGCTTGCCGCACATCTCTATGGAACAAGTGATGAAAACTTGGCAGATCACAAACAGCAGGCATTGGAATATGGTATCAACTGTAGTGAATCCACATGCAAAAGGTAAAGGTAGTGGGACAAATATGGAAGAGGTTAAGGACTGCAGATACGTACGGGAATCTGTAGTAATGCAGAAGAAGAAAAAGTTTTCACACTAATAAGTTGCCTCGTTCCCACGCGTTTTCGGCTTGGTCAAACCTGGACTCTATCGTGAGATATGACGTCACCAAGGGAGACTCGCCTACCTTTTCCCAGACTTCGCGCAGACAACGGGCAAGAGAGAACGCTTATTGACTGGGCGGACTAATAAGTATAGAGCGTTTTCACTCACCAGCATCTATGCAGAGTTTGACTCCCAAAGAATTGGCTTGGAGAACCCAACGTAGCCGCGTTTCATTGTTTTGGAACATCAATATGGCCGCCGTGGAGTCCTGTGAAAACGCTCTATAAACGCATTTAAGTATTGACCTAATCTAGTAAACTGAACTACCAAGCCGAAGCGAGACAACAAGCAGTCAATTCAACTAAAAGGAACTATATTCAGATCTTGATCCAATATTAAATTTGACATTGATTCCACACAATCAGAATCGAAAAAATTTTAATGCCAATCAGGCTTACCGCTAATATCTCAGCTTATCTCGGCATAGCTATAAATGCTAAAAGACTGTCAACGTAAACAAGAACTATATTATTTTTTCAAAATTTATAGAAACGTTGATGGGAAAGATTTCTCAAAGGTTGTGTTTCATGAGATACTCTGCATAATTCGCCACCACAGCTCACGCAAGAGACTCACCCCTCAATCAAAGGGCGTGAATGCTTAGTGTAAAAGAAGGAACTCAAATATCATGACAGAAGCATGTAATATGATCATGAGCATTGCTGAGGTTTTCATATTCACTAAATTTAGATGAGAATTTAGGGGTGTTGTCTATTTTAAATTATGTGTGGCTTTAGCAGCCCAAAAACGGACTTGCGTCCTAAGTAAAAGCAGCTTTGCACTGGGACATAGTTAAACAACCTGTTCATTTGAGAGTAACGATCGAAAATGTACTCGCTCATCCTCCTGCTTTTTTTTTTTTTTTGCTTAATTGTACACCTGATAAGGTTTTTTCTTTCTCTCCAAACCTGGATGCTATCCATTAGATTACAAGTCCAGGAAATTCACTTAAATTGGCAAATTACCAAAGTGAACTTTAATTGTCGCGATAAACTACTCCGATACTGAGCAATTTCTCCACAGTTGATAACCACCACACGCGCGTCGTTTCAGAAGGCTAATCTTAAGGAAAAACCACTTTTTATATCACGGTACTGATCTTTTTTTCCGTGATGTGTATTTGAGCTGTGGGCATGAGGATAACCCTGAAGATCGTTTGGAGACAAAATTATCGACTGAAGGAAATGGCTGACCTATATGTTTCTAAGTTAACCTGAGTGTGTACTTTTCTGAGTTCAGCCCAGTTAGCGAAGGGAACTGAGAAACTGGACTCTTCTTTCAGCCACGCAACAACACGAAATACGCGTGCACAGCTACAAAGTTTGTCAGAAATAAACACTCGATCTGTTGACGGGGTATCCAGAGGGGGCAATATGAACAAGTTCTGGAAGGGGAGTGGGGGGAGAGGGCCCTCCTGATCCCGCATTCCTGTTCCTTTTTCACGAAAATCCCGCATCCCGTCTTTTTTTTATCGCCTTCTCGAATACCGTTTTTTTTTAAATACTAATTGCTTAAAACCCGTTAAATGTAAGATATAGATTGGCTCTTTCGATTGATATTACAAATTTACGCGTGTTTTAAGGCCATTGCAAAAAAGAAATTGGTTTTCATACTTCAGTATGACGAAAATGAGGGGGAAAGGAGGAAGAAAGGAAGAGGGAGAGGGGAGGGTTTCTTCCCCCTCACTCCCAACTCCAACCCCCTTGATGTTTTTTTCCCGCTAACTAGTCTTTGCGCCGCCCCGTGGGGCAAAAGAATACAACCCACTCCCGGAAGACATTCTCAAGTTTTAAAAGGAATTAAAAAGTCGCCGCCCACTTTCTTGGAAACACTTCTGAAATAAATCGAATTAATCACATTTTCCATAACAGTATAACTCATGTATTTATTTCTATTCGTAACACATGTAAATATTTTTGCTCGGATGTAATTTTATTATTGTATATTTTAATTGTATTACGACAGAATAGCCCCGTATAGAGGAGTCACCCGCGTAATAAAGTGTATGTTACTACCAGCACGCCTGGAAAAGGCTGTGTTTTCCCGGATCCCGAAATTACTCTTCTGTTAGCTATCTCCTGGGCTTCCCGGTCGGAAATTAAATGACGGTGGCGGCTGTTCGCAGTGGCAAGCCAAATTATGAATGCCTTTAAAGCCCGTTATATCTACTGAACGCCGCTTTAGTAAAAGAAGGGATTACCGCTTCGGCGTTTTTTGTAATGCAACTGAAAAAAATGACATTTGATCCGACTTCCGCCGGAACTAGAGAGAACAGTTATGCATATAGCCTCACACCCTTCCGCCACGGTCACCAATGCAAAATTACGTCACCCACGCCACCCTTCTTGGAAAACGACTCATATCCATTTGACTGCTAATCCTTGCTGGTTCAATCAGTATTCTCACTGAAAATTAAAGTGGGTCAAGAGGAATCCGGCTGAACTAAATCAAGGAAAACCGTAAGTAATATTAAGCACTTCATGGTCTGTTATTTTAGTAGGTATCATGAACCAGATCACCACTTCATTTGAAACTCTTCACTCCACGGTCTTTGTAAGAAGGTTCACAATTCGGAGTTCAAGCTACACGATTTAATTGAAATAAAAGTTAACTTCTCTTCTTAAAGGCAATCTTGAGAGCCATGCCGATTTTGACGCGGCAGTTCCCGGTTGATACTGTGAATTAAAGTGAACTTAAAAAAATACTCTGGTCAATACTTTTAGTCAGAACTAATCAGTAAAGCACGTAATTCGAGTTTTAAAATGGCGCGGGCAAGTTTGTTTGTTTGTTTTTGTCAGCAGTACGTTTTTAAAATGCTGTACGTCTCAGCTTGTTTGGACTGTTATCTGTTTCGTAACCAAGATCAGTCAGTCTCCGAAATTTTTAAGAATTCAAACATTTGGGTTTCATTCAATCGCCACATTTCTATTATTATTCACCCGTTGAAGGCTCCGCGCTTGTTGAATTATTTATTTTTCAAAGTTTTCAAATTTTTCAAATTTTGCATAACCAAATAATGATTTGGGGGCGCCGGACTACCGCATTCCAGCGCATACCGGCCAAGAGTACCGGAAGACGATGCTTGTGAAAATTTGGGGGGAGGACAAACAGAGTGTATTTTGCATGGTGCTCTGCTTTGTTAATTCAGTGTACAATTCGTAAACCACTCCAAAGAGACTTAGAGGTTTTAGATTAAGCCTCTTTTGCTTTGAACTGCAACAGTGATCTGTTTTTCAGATAGCCTGTGTGGCAGGCGTTTGAAAGGGAAGGGAACGGGAGTTTTGGGCGCGAGAGAAAAACTTCCTTTCCCTTCCCTTTCAAACGCCTGCCACGCAGGCTATTTGTCAGAGGGCTTGGACTAGGCGGAGAGGACCCTGGGAACGAGTTTAGGCGATTTTCTTCTCAGTGCTCCACTCAGTTGCCAGCCTTGTACTGCATTCAAGTTTTTGTTTCTTAATGTTTTAATTCATACAAAGATTCAGACCCTTTTCTTTTAAATCAACAATGATACAATCAGAAAAAAAGAATGAAAGAGAGGATAGGACAACTAGTTTGCTGTTTCACTGTGCGTCACGGTCTATGCGAATATCTTCATATAGACCAAGTGCAGGGGGTGGGGGGTACTTCCTTATAAAAGGCTAATGGGGATGTGCCGCTGAATGGGAACGAATTTTCACGACTGGATTGACTATAACGTGGTTGCATTTTCAATAGCGTTACTAGATATCACTAGAATGGGACCCAAGTGCCCCCCCACCCCAACCCGGGACCATGTGCCTTCTCTTTGTTTTGTTTGCTCTTTGTTTGCACTCCAAATTTTCCGCGAAATGGATCTAAATTACATATTCTAGGCCTGTGACACTGAGTTTTCAGTGTTACGTTAGAACGAACCCCCCGCTGAGTCAAATTTTTCACTTGATCGAATGCTACATGTTTACCCGAAGGTATTACAAATACAATCTTAACTACTTGATTGAAGCGTGATACGTGAGCCAAATGGAACTCGCTGCTATTTTGTTGACATGACATGGGTGTAATTGCTTGCTGTGACCTTATTAGGCCAGCGGAAACATTCGAGAAGCTGCTAAAATAATCGAATCGAATGTTTACTCGATTAGTCATATCCGCTAAAAATGAACTAAGATCCTTAAAACTATAAAAACCACTAAAAAAGGAAAGAAAATGGATTGAACTTCATCTGGCAGGCTTTGAGTTGATTTAGACGGCGATTTTTCACAATACTTATGTTACTGTTTTTAGGACCACCAAAGCTGTACCCAAGATGAGCTTGAAAACAATGTCACGATTGCCACAGATTTCTGTAACTTCGCCCCGGGAATCAATCGAAAAGGCAATATTTTTTCCTTCAAGAGGAAATGTGGCCAGAGAAAAAAATGACCCCCTTCCGAGTGGAGACAATTCGTCTGACAACAAAATTTTAAAGGATAAAAATTCGGAAGCTGTAAACAAAAATAACACGCCGTCTGTTTTGCTTCGCGTGAAACCAAATCCACGACAAGTTGAGCCGGGTCATCTCATCACGGATCAATACGTGCCTAACAAAGAAAATGTGTTAGATTATCGATATCAGCAGCGTCACAAAAAGAGCGTCATCATAACACGCGAAGGTCTCGCTCCAGCTAGCAAAGCCCGTGAGCGAGAACACGTTTGTACAGTTTCTGGAAACATGTCTGGCGGTAAAACGCAGCCAAAGAAAGTCACAGTTACAGCTGGGTCTTTGAGGGCTCGAGATCAATCCTTTCAGGCAACTTCCTCGGGCAATGAACAATTCAGGGGTGTTATTTCAGGACTTGGCATGTCTCGAGTTCAAGACTCCGGTCTACCTAAGTATACCCCAAAAGATACAGATAGACTTTCAAGAAGTTCAGTCAGTGTTAAAGGAATCAGCAAGTCCAAGGAAATAGTGAAAAAAGAGGAGAAGTTAAAACCACAGGTTCATCACGCGCTTTTGCATTCAAAACATAGCGGAGGGCACGAAGAGCGAACACGAAGAAGAGTTTCACCCGGATCACCGTTGAAACAACTGACTGATGATTCGCCTTCGAAAGGTGGAAGGAGATACTTAAACATTAGTCCGAAACCTAAAGATTCTGGAATTGAAAGAAAATTGAAAACTCCGAAAAAGGTTACACCAATTCCTTCTCCCGCTGCGCGCCACGGGCAAAACGACGATTCCGCCAGGAGAAGTTCAGAGGATCTGGTCCCAGTCATGGAGTTACCTAAAGTAACTATGAATGAAGTGCTACAATCATGGAATATAGGGCCGGCGCGGAACAGAACGTCAAATCTCGCGGGAAAAGACCCAATGGAATTTTTATTATCGAGGGAGCGCTCCGATTCTGAGCCGAAACAAAGAACGACGACACTCGAAGAACTCCGGAGATGTCGATACTTACGAACAGGCGGAAAAGACGAACAAGAGCTCAAACACAGTAAAATTTGTTCGTGCAATTCATGTGAACATGGGGAAGGCTTGAAGAGCACGCCATATTTAAATTCTTAGTGTGCATTTTAATTTGTCATATTTCGATTACCTTCCTTTTCGGTTATCGTTAATTGGCCTGCGACCTTTTTGCTTTCTTTGACCTTCTATCGCTAACATAACAAACCACACAATTTTAACAAACAATTGAGTGAGATAATGTCGATATTATTTTTTCTTTATTTATATTGTATGTTAATATTGGTAGTGTTTTAAGCCAATAATTTTCCTATTGTTACGTTAAGTTTATTAAAAAAAATCAAGCGTACACGCACGACCGCTTGTTTCGTTTGAATTTTTTTAATCCTTGTGTTTGTGTACATATGAAGTCCAAGGGATGCGCATTACATTCAGTCTTCTTTCTTTTTTGGAAAATAGAGGAGGGACTGTTTTTATTCTTCATAAATTGTAGAATAATCGTAGAAAAACTGTAACAGAAAACTGTTTTATTAACCTTTCCTCTTATTAATATGGAACAAATATGAGTAGACAGATATGGCAGAGTAACGGCGGGCCTGTTGATAGTATTGCAGACACTTGTTTCATATCGGGTTTTAACAATATAGAAGGCAGATGATTTTGAGGTTCGCCCGAGAAAATAAATTTGAAATGATTTCAGTCTACTCAGAATCTTTGTTATACTATTGAGATGCCAAATGAGTAATCTTCCATCAATATGTATAAGACAGGTTACCTTTAACAGCAAGAGTTCAGTGATTTCCGCCGCCTTTTTTCAAGCATTGATTATACTCATCCATAGTTGTCAATATACGGTAGCTCTGTATAACTAAGATGGATATTTATTTGGATATTTTTATCACGATGTACAGGAGAGTGGAATTGTGTAAAAAAAAAAAAAACTATATTTACAATGAATTGAATAAAGTTTTATTACAAAGTTTTGTTTTACTTTTTCTTTTTTCTTAAAAAAATGCACAAAATTTATATATTGTATGCGTAGATCTCATTTCTAATCGGATTATTAAGCGTTCGATATCGATTACGCTATACTATTGTTTTTTAATAGGTGTTTAAAACATTTTTATTCTCTGGCTCACCCTCTCATGTCATAAGGGCGTGCATATTTTTGGTAAAAAAGAAAGGACTTTTAGGATTCAGATCCTGTAACATGTAGTGTTTATTAACGGGCAGTCGTACTTTTGAGAGCAATGGAAAGGGGTATAGTCAATTGATGATAGCTGTTGATCCTGCCGTTCATGATTGCCATATATAAACGCTGATTTTTTTTGTTTAAAAAAAAAATACTGAACCATGCATGTGAATGTAACGCAGAATATATAGTAACCACATTCAGCTTAATGTCAACTGTCACTGCATCCTGGTTTCCTGGAAGACGGTCTCCCCAGTATATGTTAGCGAAAGTACGTCATCGTTTCTCGAATTGAACGTAACTTTGGCGACGTTCATGATGATATCGAGTTGGAGTTTAAAGGGGAAATGACTAAACTAAATTAACATAGAGTAAACACAAACCGCTCACCTTTGCACTCTCCTTACTTCTTTACTTTTCTGCCAGGCAAATCTTCAAAAACAACCGTACCAGGCGGATTTCGGAAAGAGTCGCGAGACCGGCATGAGGTGCTCCGGCACTCTGAGCTCCTTCCCGACGAAAATACGTCTCCTATCTGAACTAAGATGAAACATATTAGTAATTTTGTGCTGATAATCCGATTATCATGTGCTTTAGTTGAGTGTCAAGGTATTTAGCACGAAAGTACTAATTGGGGACACTAATTTTACGATTCCTACTGGAGACGGGACCACCATTTTACGTGCCCGAGCCACGCGAAGGTCCATCCAGCTGCTTGCTGTGCAAAGGGAGTAACTCCATTTCTCAGTTATCATTTAAAACCCTGAGTGTTGGTCCGACCCCGCCGGGAATCGAACACGCGATCTCCCGCTCTGCAGTCAAGTCAGGCTCTGCCGACTGAGCTAATCCTGCCCATTGCTATAAAAGGGGCAAATAGAAAAAAGTCACTCACGATGGATTCTGGCCGAGGTTCAGTTGGCTTGGATCCCTGATACTATGGTCAAGAGGATGTCTATGTATTTTCAAGGTGCACAAATTTAGTCTCTTGACTACTCTCAAATCTCAGATGACCTGAATCCTGGGCTTGTATTATGTCTTGTGTAGAACAATGTACAAGCTCAGTCGGTATCCCTGTCAGACTAAAAGGGTTTACGTTTTGCAAACCCGTCGGGCCTCGACCAAAATTTCCCCTCAGTCCCCGTACACCCGACGACTTTAACCAGCAGATCTCGATCCCTCAGTTACGTTTTGAAAATTATCTCAAAAACCGTGGGTCAAAAATCATTTTTCTTCTTATCCGGAATCTAGCTCCTTTCCTCTCATACGGGAGCTTTGATGGGCTCCTGTCTCATATCATCACGGAAAACATGGGCTCCTGCTAAAGATCGTTAAAATCCCGAATCCGGACATTTTCCCTGCAGAGGCCATTTTTCAGGGAAAAGAGGCTCTCTTAGCAGGGAACCCGACATTCAATCGAGCGGAATTTTCTGAGACAGAAAAGTTTTGGGGGTTTGGGCGCAGGACCTGGGCTCAGTATTGACACGCTTTTAGCGCTCCAACCTCGTCCCCAGGGCTTTTCCATTTTTCCAGTTAATATTTAAACGGTAGATATAGGCATACTTTTAGTTCCTAAAAATTGTTCTTCTATTCGGGTTTCCTAGCTGAAAGTGTAGTGATTATAGGGATCAAAACTGACCTTTTCGAAAATTTCAGGCGCCAGAAAAAAGGCTCCCGAAAATTCTAGGTGACCTTTTTAGGGTAAAAATTCGTTAAAAATGGGCAATTATACCATTTTTACATGTTCGAAATTCCTAGGAGAGGCAGGCAAGCAAGAAATTTTGGAACCAAAGGTTCCGAAAATTCTAGATCTGAAATCCAACCTCGTCCCCAGGGCTTTTCCCTTAATTTTTTTAGGGAAAAACACTGGGGACGAGGTTGTCTGAAATCGTCTTCCGAACAGGTATTTTCCGAAAATTGACGTTGCATTGATTTTGAAGGAGTAAACGGCGTACTCAAAATCCTTCATATTCGCTCAAAAACCTCTTTTGACAGTTTTGAGGCAAAATACAACAAGTAAGGTAATTCAACGTTTATTTAACATAGCAGAGGCAGTGGACCCCGATGCAGTCTCATCAAAATCACGCAAATCAGTGGCAACTGTGAATGGGTATCCTGTGGGAAAGGCGCGGCTACTTTTTATCCCACAATGCTTTGTAAACATGTCTGCGAAGGCGGAAGCTCGTTTCACACTAGAAGAAGCCCGAGATGACAGGAATTATTTAACAGGATGTGAATTGGAATTGTTCTTTTGTCGAAAGACTTTCCTGTGGGGCGTTGCTGCAAATTTTCACAATGAGTTTCGATAGGCAGCACTTGCGATTTTCAGTGGATTTGTCCTCTAAGACAGGACACGAGGCGATCTTGACTCACATCGACGGAGAACTGAAACATTTGGAGCATGTCAGAGAATATCTCACCAAACGAGCTAAAGTCGAACTTGATTATGCTTCAGCTTTGACCAGAATAAACACGGTTGCTGCTAAGGTTATCAACGACAACGAGAAAGAAAGCCCCATAAGAAAGGTAAAGTTTTCGGTCCTTTAAACTTTATATGTTTCTATATGTTTAGTTCGGAGATAATCGACCGGTGTGGTGGGCTTGATCATTGATTCTTCAATTTGATTTCGTATCTATCGGAAATCGTTAAGAAATCTTGCTAAGTATAAAATCATGGCAGTTTCGTTTTAACGAAATTTTTCTTATTTGGTTATTGTTTTATTATTGTGTATTTTTATGTATTGTGTGATATTATGCGGCAGCAGTTCGCAGTAAGCTTGTTTTCATTTTAATTGCGTTCATCACATTCTTTGGCTCTCCGATGCCGAATGTTATGTCTTGTTTTCTGTTAAAACCCGGCAGTGTTCCATTTTATCTTAAAGTTATTTGTTTCGTCTTTTACTCTCTGTCATCAGCCCCCACTACATGTATTTCAAAACTTTGTTTTATTGTAATAACATATTAGTTTATTTATACAGTAGTTATAAAATTATTTGGTATTTGACTTCCCTGACAATGTAGGACTTGCAATGCAAATTTATCATTTTTGAAGGTTAAGCCAACCAATATTGCAACAGTAGATAACTTTCTCGAAATGCGTGGGCTAGTTGATATTTGTTGAAGAAAATGAAAGGTTCACCCAGAAAATGCAACTTTTGTATTGGACAACACTGACAGGATATACATATATTTTTATACGATTGAACTAAGCTTTCCTTTGTCCAATTCTTTTTTTCAGGTTATCTATTTAAAAAAATAAAATGAATATGACAAAATAATATTATTCATCTTGTATTCTAATACACTAACATTCAGAAATTCTGGAGCACATGTATCAAGATTTCCTTCAACCTTTTTTGCAGTATGACGGTATTGCTGTACATCTGCCTGTTGTAGGCTGCAGAAAATGCATAAAACAGAGTTTTTTATTTTAATTTATGATGTCATGTTGAGGTTGTAGACTTGCCAATTCTGATAGTCCCTGCTCTGGCATGCAATTTTGTGGCAGCTGTGTACTGATATCATTCAATGTATGGGTTATAAATAAAACTGTAGCTTAAACTCCATTATCAAGGTGTGATTTTGCGGTGTCGGCATTTAAGGAAATAGGCTTGAAATATTTTAATATCTGACTGTTCATTATAGATATGCTTTGTATTGATCTGTTTGTCATCTTATAGCATTGGCTAACACACTGTAGGAAATTCCAAATCTATAGTTTGGGGATGTAAGGCTGGGAATTTTATTCCTAACTAAACTAATATTAATATATATTTCAGTAAGTACATTATTTGAGAACACAGCGCTAGCACAAGGTATTTGTCATGCTAATTTATAAATATGTCAAGGTCTGGGGCGACGGGCATAATTTATTAGTCTTGTAAAAAATATATTTTATATGTTTTATTTTACTTGCTCAGAGCCTGTTTTCAGTGTGAATATGTCATAATGTATTAATGAACAGAAATATTACACATGTAAGTTTATTTCAGTGTGCTGTTATCTCATTTTTTTACCAGGCTTGGGGCACATATATTGCAGAAAGTGAAACAAAGGCCAAGTTGATTACAGAATTTACCAACATTTTGAATTCTACTACATTAAAAAGAGTGGACCAGCTTATTGAGGACAAGAGAAATTTATTGAAAAAGTACAGGGTTGAAAAGTTTAGAGTTGATAGTGGCTACAAACAGGAATCTGATGAAATTGACAGACTAAGAAAAACTTACCAAGACAATGCGAAGGAATCTGAGACTGGGAAAAGAAAATATGAGGAAGTTTGTGCAAAGGATAAAATAAATGGCAAAGACTGGGAGCGTTCAAAAGATAAATACGTGAAAACGACTATGAAACTTCATCATAATCATAATGATTATGTGCTTGCCCTGAAATCAGGAAATTGCCACCAAGGATTCTATAATGATGTTTTCGTTCCTACAATGTTAAATTCTTTACAATATTTGCAAGAAGAGTATGTGGAGGAATGGTAAGTTTTAACTGGCATAAATTATGTAACAAGCCACAAAAGCCACTCGTACTAGTCAGTCCTGAAGACTAATAATTATTACAGTCATTGCTTGCAGCTTTGCAGTTTTGTTGCACTTATTGGATTTCTGCTTCTAATACAATTACAAAACCATAACATAACATTCTAGAAAAGGTTCTGGTGTTCACAGTTTTCTTAGTCTTAACAGTAAAAGCTTTTATTGGGTCTATATTTTTTATGCTGAGACTAAAAGCCAGAAAGTTAGGGAATACAGTCAACTAGGTTCCTCATCAGACACCTCACAAGCTATAAAAGTATATTTTACAAACACCTCACTTAGACAGGGCTAAGAGACATGAATTCTAGCTCTTCTTTTGAACAAGCAGCTCTCCCCTTTTTTCTTGCCCAGAGCCATTGCTTGCTTATATTTAGTTAATGGTTTAGCGACGTGATGACTTATGTAGACCCTTGTTGTAAGCTTCACTCTTTAATCCCTAAAAAGAAGCACTTTATTTGAGTGTCAAGTGCTAACTGCGGACACCATTTTTTACGTCTCCTACTGGAGACAGGACGGCCATTTTAGGTGGTCATCCAAGCCACGCGAAGGTCTACCAGTTTGCAGCGCAAAGGCAGTACCTTCATTTCTCAGTTATTTTAAGACCCTGAGTATTGGCCCGGGCCCGGGAATCAAACCCGCGACCTCCTGCTCGGCAGTCAAACGCTCTACCATTCAAGCTAATCCTGGTGCGGTTGAAGGGTTAAGTCTTAAGAGTGCCTAATATCCAGATTCAAATTCTCCAAACTAATTTCCTTACATTTACTTAAAGACTTAGTGGAGAGAATTAGACAGAAGATCACAGAATTCTCTCTTACATGTAGGTGATCATCTTAATAATTCTCATAACCTCTTCTGCTTGATTATGCATTGATACCGTTAGCAGAAAATTGATGATGATCACTCTTAGGACTCAACCATTTAAGCTCCGAGATCCACATTCAAATTCTCCAAACTGATTTCCATACATTTCCCATAGAACAAGTTGAGAGAATTTGTTAAAAGATCAAAGCATTTTCTCTTACGCGATCATTTGATTAATTTTTATAATCTTTTCTGCTTGATACAGTAAGGAGAAAATTGCTTTTGGGACTTATGGGTTATAAAATAAAGTTACTCTCCCAACAAGAAAATCTTCTTATCCTGAGAATTTAACCAAATGGGACTTATTTCCAGCTATTCTAGAGTTGGTGCCTGCAGGTTTTCAGTCATTTTCTTTGACTTCTCTCTATAAAGGTGGACACCTTTCTAATTGGACAGGCTATCAGTGTTGGTGCCTGCAATAGTAAGCTGATTTAGCAACAGAACAGAAATGTCATTTGACAACGGTAAAGTGCTTGGAAAGGACTAAACTTGACTTCTGGTGCCCAATTTGCCGCTCTACTTTTGGTCAAGCCAGCTGTTTGCTTTGCGTGGGCTGTCGTCAATTGACGTTCCCGTTCTGTTGCTAAATCAGCCTAATGTCCATCTTAGAGGGAACTGATTGTATTTTGTAGTTGGATTTAGGAAAGGTCTTCTGCAGGATGTTTTGGTTCTTCTGCAGTTTTTCAGTCATTTTCTTCGACTTCTCTCTATAATTACTTTAGGCGGACACCTTTCTGATGAGACAGGCTATTAGTGTTGGTGCCTGCAATAGCATTTATCTTAGAGAAAAGTGACTGTATTTTGTTGTTTCATTAATTTAGGAAAGATCTGCTGCAGGATGTTTTTCATCTTACAAACTGTTGCCGAGAAGAGTATATGTCATCAAGCCAAGCAGTACAGGCCAGTGTCACGGAAGTAAAAAGAGACCAAGAGTATGCAAACTTTATCAATAAGAACAGGTATTTTGTCGATGGTATTAATACATACACCTTGGTTAAAAAATATGGATGGAAAAAGGTTAATGATCCCCCCAAACTGCAAAACGGTCGGGTTTTTTCTCAAAGTCAGTCCAGTGTAGTGTAAGAGTGAGGCCCTATGGGCAATTGACTGTCCGTTTTCCATACAATGAGTTTGTTCTGACCAGGGGATTCAAAAATGTTGTCAAGCTGTCAAAACTCTATTCACAACTCCTCCCTCTTTGTAAATTTGATACACCCAGTGGCTTCAAATCTTGTGTTGAATGCTGTATCCAGTCTTGAGCATTGTTTCTGTGTGCAATGTATATAGTGTTTTCTGGAAGTTCCAAAATGAGCAGAAGTGGCAGTATGCCAACAAAGCCTGTTGCTGCTCCTCAAAGAGGGAGAAAGCCAAGCATAGTGCTGCAGATAATTGTAGAATGTGTGGCTGTTGTTTCAAAGGACAGTTCGGCAATTTAAAGAGTGGCTGCATGGATTATAAGCTCTGAATGTTTGTTGCCACTACTATAAAAAGGTGAAACATTACCAAAGTTGGCTGACCTTCTAAAAACAAACTTTTCGTTGTCCTCACAAAGGAGAACCTTTCTCCACAACAGTTTTCTTGCCTGGTTAATTAGAAACTGTGCTGCGACGCTTTTGCCAATGAGAGAAAAACGGGACACGTCAACAGACAATGACTTCATCACAGTAGGGAACATCGTGAATAACTTGTTGGAAACTTAACTTGACAGCTTGTTAACAGCTTGCATCAAAATTTAGCCAATAGGAATTGCCCATGGCTGGGAGAAGTGGGTAGATCAAACAAATATAATGTATGTAAAACGGACAGTCTGTATTTTTAGTGTCTCTCTCCAGTCTGGCTCTCTGTACGTTTTCAGCCTAGCTCTAGACGTTTTGTTTGACTGTTCACACGTACTTGAACATGTAAAAATACAGACTGTTTTCGAAGAGACTTAAGAACACATTTATTTATAGCAACTGTAATTAAATTTTTAGCTTCATATGTGTACATTTTTCATATTTTTATTAGATTTTATTATTGTAACGATTAATCTAATTCAGCTTTTGGCTGCGATTTTAATCAGAATAAACTATCTATCTATCTGTCTGTTTTGCAGTCTATAATCCCCCAGAAACATGAGTTTTTACCCTAGATGTTTGCTACTAATTAATGCGCTACAGTCAGTGTCACTTCCTTTTTTAATAATTAAGACAGCAGTTAAGGGGCAGATTATCCTCACAGAACATTAGTTTGTCCCGATTTGTTGAAATAAACATTCATATTCATTCATATTTCAATACCCATGACTGCTGTGGCTTGACACTTTCAAAAAATATTCACTTGAGGTCTGAGTAAATTTAAGTACCTCTGTCCCTTATATAACCTGTGCCACAGAAGAAACTAAACTTCTGTTCAAGTCAGTCTGCAAAACAGTGCTGAAACCCTTTTTCTGGGCGGCACCTCAGGCTTGTCCGAACTAACTCTCACTTGACTTTAAATCATTGTTGCACTGCTACTTTTTGGTCCATAACTGTAGAAATTGACCACACGATTGTTGTTTCATCTTTTTTCTCTTTTGTTTTCTGGCAGACAGAATCAAAAACCAGCTCTAGCATTCATCTTTGATCCAACTCTTCTTCAACTGACATCAACAGGGGTAACAGCTGATGAATTAGTGTTGAACGATTTGACTATGGAGAAACTTGAATACAGGTGTGTTTTGATTCTTAAATTTGCTTTTTCATTGTGTCCCTTATTCTGACTACCGCTAGTTATCCATAGTTTCACTCATGCACTTGTTAACCATATGCTAATATTAATTTTCTAAAAGTTCAATCCAGGTGAACCTCCATGCAATCACCTCTCCTATTAAAAGTGCCATAACCACCTCCCATACGGGAACACCTATCCCAAACCCCTATGAACATAATAATATTTTCCTAGTCAAATTACTATTGTAGGAAGCTTTCGTAAATGGCCAACTCTCGTATGTAACCAGGACCACTTTTTGAAGAGACAATTTTTCCACTGTTTTTACCCTCTAGTAAGCGACCACTCAACGCATGGTCTGATCTCTATGTTCACTATGTGTACTATGCTACTTCTAAGGAACTTTAAGTGAGAACACAGAGCTTAATATGATTATAGCAACTTATTAGAAATTGCATGCAGTAAATTCACCTTCAAAAAGTGTATGTGTTGGGACCCTTGCTTGGAAAAGACCCTCTGTGGTTGGATTCTTGTAACTGACCACTGAATCTTCACATTTTGGTTGGTTGCTTATGAAACTTGTTAAACGTCCCTCCGCCAGTCCCCAATACCTGACAGCCAATCTGGTTTTATCTGTTGGTGTGAAAAGAAAATAAGCAGTGGGTTTCTAATTTGTACTGCCTTTCTCCTAGGAGAAATTATCTTACCAAGGAAATTGAAACTATCGAACAGCAGCTTGAAGCTAAAGTGAGTTTTACTGTCAAACTCAGAAAACCGTGAACGGCTAAAAAATTTCAGGAATGTTGATTGTGTAGTGACCAATCACAATGAAGTTCAGGACATGCGAGCCAACCACAAAACCACAAACTAACTACTGTTGCTTTTTCCGGTTTACTGGTTTCTCACACCTTATTGGCTTTCTCTTCGCAACACAATAACATTCCATGAATACTTCTGATATTCATGGTTTTGTGAGTTTCACAGTAATACAGAATGTGGAATGTTACTTTCCTTTTCGTAATATTTTAGGCCCAAATAGTATCAATGCATACATATTTTCTCCACACTGTAAATAGTTGATAATTAAAACACACCAAGGGTGGTTTCATCTGCAACGTATGCATATAGCTGTCACATTACTGGAATTTCTTAGTGTTTTGAAGCTTAAAAACAAGAGAAAATTCTAGTGGGTAAATGCAAATAAGTTTAGATCTACCTCAAAAGTCACTTGTTATATTTACTTCATTTCTAAGTGCATCTTTACCAAAGTTTTACCAGAATTTTTGGAACCTTGATATAAAATAAATTTCTGCTATTTACCCTTTGCAGTATTTGCAGAAGTAGTGCTAGTGAGGCGGAGCAAATGCCTGAAACAAATAATTGAAATCAAACGTGATGGGGTTAAGAATCCCACCAGTTGGCTATTTATAACCGTGGTCGAGGATTTGAACTTGGCTGGGGTGACTGAGAACATTACTCCAGCTAGCGGTCAGGAAGGGCCACTACTGCCGAGAGGGTCATGTGCCCAACCCCTGAATTTTAAAAGCGTCTTGTGTCGGTGTTTATAAGCAACATCGCTTATTGTCAACTTTGCCGTCTACTGTTGCAATTTGGCCAAGGAAGGTTGCCTCATTAATGCATGATTTCCAAATTTTATCGCTGCCGCTACTTTTGACCATGTCGACATCAGGAATTTGCCCTGGCAGTGCCTCGATCAAGGCGGGACTGGGTTTCGGGACCTCTGAAACGCGGTCCGCTTTCTTGGCTAAGACCCACGCTGCCCTCCTCAGCCTGAGCCATATATATATAATGAAGTAGTAATATTGACATAAGATGGAAAAGAATCTCAATATAATAAAACTCATTATAGTGGACACATTTTGCCTGTCCCTTGCTGTTCATCAGGCTCTATCAAGGTTCCACTGTATGACACTGACCAGAGGATTGTTTTGAGCCTTCACTGATTGTACATTACATTTTCTAGCAAAAGGAACATGAGCAAGAAAACAATAAACTTCACGGGGAAAAACAAACAAATGAAGACCACTTAAGGTACAAGTAAAAAACTTTTAAAAATACATCTTGCTGCTTAATAGCAAGGAATACAAAATACACACAACAACAAAATTTAAAATGGTACCTTAACCTAGCTCTAGTTTTATAATGTTTAAGAATTATTTGAACCCTAAAATTCTTGTTTTTTAACCTTTGCTTTAGCAATTACACAATCGATAATGGGTTTTGGGTAAGCTTAACACTTTAAGCCCCAATATACACATGCAAATTCTCCAAACTGATCTCTATACATTTCCTTTAAGAATTAGTTGAGAGGATGTGATAAAAGATCATGACATGTTGTCTTTGGTGATCATTTTATTAATTCTCATAACTTTATCTCTTGACAATGTATGGATATTGTTAGGAGAAAATTGATGTTGGTCACTATTGGCACTTAAAGGGTTAACAACTGGGACTTATGTTGTACTGGCCCTAGATCATCTCAAGTGAGTAAGAAAATGTTTAGAAATGCATACAGTTGCTACGATAACTAAGTAAAAGGGATCAATGCTCCTCATCCTACAATAATGTTCTGTAACAATATTATCCTGGAAAATATAAATTGGAGAAGAAGGGGTATTGTTTCTCATCTGTTGGGGGACAAAGACTGTCCATGCCGACTGCTCTTGTTGCCCTCTTTTTAAGTGGTTTTTTCAAGAAGTCCTGACTTCAGCACCTTGGCCAATGATGCTTGCTAAACGTCAGCTGGTTAATATAATAACATGGATTTTTTACTGTATTGTTTTGTTCCTAAACATGCATATGTTTCCTTTGTTACTTAGTTTGCACGGCTAGCTTCTGTACTAGTAATTAACACTTCCAAGGTTAGACAATGATGCAGTCTTCAATACTGTTGAAGTTCGAAGTTTGTTTTGTAACATTTGCTTTATTTTTGTGGTTTGATAGCATCATTCAAAAGGAGCAGAATGTAGCTGTTCTAAGCTGGCATGTAGAAGATCTAAAGTGCAAAAAAACTAAGCTAGAGGTACATGTATCATATTTTATTATTATACACCATTATTTATTGTTATTTACATTATTATTTGAGAGTATTGTGGTAACTATTTAAGCCCCAATATCAACAAGTATATTCTTGCCACTGATCTCCATAGATTGTACACATGAGGAGAATTTTCTTTTGCAGTCAAGACATCTTATCATTGTTAGTCATCTTCTTTGCTTTTTTATTAAAGCAAGTGTTTAGGTGGAGATGTTACAGGCCAAAATTAAATTCAGGTTAAAATTTTTTAACCTAGGTGGATTCACAATTTCCTTTGTCTCCTAGCCTGTTGTCCCTTTTTCGAGCTAAAGAACACTGATGCGTTTTCTGCATACATTTTTTCTACAACAGTAAGGGGAAAATGAGTAAAACAAGTACAGGACAATGTTTAGCACACACAAAAAAGCATATACACAAAAAATCGGCAATTTTTGAGCAGTTTCAACTTTAGGCATATTTTTCAAATGTGCCCTTTTTCCACCGGAACCTTATTCATGAAGTAAGGCTAAGAGACAGAGAAAATTGAGAAACAACCTAGGTTAAAAATATTTTAACCTGAATATAATTTTGCCCTGTAATAGAGACCTGGTTGTTAAGCTGTAACTTGTGTCATGTTAGCCACTTCACACACACCGAAACCTAACTGTGAATCTGGAGGTGAGGGTTATATTGTGTCTGCATCAGTTGTGGGATTGTTTCTTAGGCATGCCAGCCGCTGCAGATGGGTACCCTGTGGCATACTGCTCGGAATAATCCTGTGTATCTTTACCTTAAACCTCTCATTCTCTATTTTAGAAAATGTGCAACATGATTGCTGTCGTACTTGACAGACTGGGCAATAATCAACCTCCAAAGTTTGCAGATTTTTCAGTTCCAAACTCACCTCCTGCTGGGGTAAGTCATACAGCTGCCCAAGCCAGTAATGTAGACACCCACTGCAAGTCAAACATTAATTTAATTCCTGCAAAACTTTACAGTAGCCAGTTAACTAATCTAATGAGTTCATTCACAAAGTTAAACTTAACAATGGCAAACTGAAAAACTTGCTTAAAAATCTTAGTAATGACCTTTTATCTCATTGAGTATTGTTTCTCTTTTCTAGCTATTTCATACTTCTCTTTCTATGTTTTGCATGCTGCTAGTGCTTGTGTATGTAAATCTGCTTGCTTTCTTTCTTTCTTTCTTTCTTTCTTTCTTTATCAAGTCTAAATTTAGTTATGTATTTAATTTATTACCATTAGTGCTTTATGTTTGTTGCTATTTTTGCTTATAATGTTAATTCTTGTGCATTAGATATCTCACTTTATTTTGTTTGTGAGAAGAAAACCAATAAATCTTGGCACAGGAAAAAAGCCTACAGGGGACATTTTCTGATTGGTCAAAAACCTCATTGTTTACTATTGTGTGCACGTATAAAAGAAAGTTATGACTACTCCTTAAAGAAACTAACAGATCACCTAAAACTTAATGCGTCTAATATTTTTGAGATCGTACCTGGAACCCTTAGAATGCTCATGCTTCTTCATGCAAGCATCTTATGGCTGGGCAAATCGGGTAAATCTCATACCAGGTATCTAGGTTGTAAGAAAGTTACATGTTTTCACGATTAACAAATTTTCACAACACCCTTTGGGGGACCTATCCAGAGTTAAGGAAACAGAAAGATGTTGTAACAGCTTTTCGCACATGTATACTCGATCTTGCAGGAATTTGGGCAGTCTACTCCCGAGTTCAGAAAAAGTGCGCGAAAAATACCAACATTGTTTAAAAAGAGAAGACTGGAAAAGGAAATATCTGCTAACCCTGCAGAGAAAAAACCTGTGCGCTACAGGGCCCCGTCCCCTAGCGACAAAGTTAATGGAAGAGATAATGACTCAGATGACAGTGCTACAGGAGAATATATTGAGGTAAAATTTAATTTAATCTCATATATTTTTTTGTTTCACTTAACTTTAGTTACCATCTGCAAAGCTGCAAATAACAGTCTGTCGTTTAGTCTTCTACACAGCTGTTTTTAGTGTCGTCACGCAACGCTCTTTCCCACAAACGGCAGTTTGTGGGGAGAAGCGTTGCGTGACGACACTTAAAACGGCGGTGGATCAGACTATCTATCTTTGGACAGTGTCTAACTTGAGTATGCCCAGTGTCCGACAAAAACCCAGCTGCTGTTGGACATGATGACCGGGCCTTGCAAGACTATCATTTTGAAGCTCAAGATCTGTACTGGTAACTTGTTCCATGGTCAGACGGCGTTAGATTGCGTGACGAGCCAAAAGAACGTCTGCGTGGGAGGCTATTTGGCATTTGCTTCTTCTAGTTTAGTGTGCGTATAGTGGAGGCGCGTGTAGCGAGGTGGAGGTTACATGATTCTGTGCTGGGATTGGCTTCCCAAGCGGAAAAAATAAATCTGCCTCGCCTGCTTTGTTCCTGCGAGAAGGAATGATCCGCCCACCGTGCAACAACTTCCTTATTACAGAGAAATACTCTTTATCACCAACAATTTCTTGATAGTTACACTGAGCTTTCGTATCCCATCCAGATCCCTTCATCAACGACGTTTGCTGATATTCGTAGGCTCGTTTTGATGAGTCTTCAAAATTGTTCCATAGCAAGTGTGCCCTCTCCTTTGGGACTGGCACTATTGGTCCATCTTAGAGAGTGGTCCGTCTTATTTAGCAACAGAACAGGAACGTCATTTGACGGCGGGAAAGCGCGCGGAAAGGACTAAACTCGACTTCCGGTGCCCAATTTGCCGCTCTGCCATTGGTCAAGCAAGTTGTTGGATTTGCGCGGGCCGTCGTCAACTGACGTTCCCGTTCTGTTGCTAAATCGGCCTAAGAGTCAGGGACGGCAGGGACCAACTCCAGGTGTCGGTTTTAGCGAGTTGTCTGTTAAGAGAGTTTTTTTTTTGTATATTTTGTTTGTTTAGCCTGAAGATAACCTGCCTCTTCAGGAGGAGCTGTGGTTTCATGGCACAATTGATCGCAAAGATATACCTGAACGCCTTAAAAATAACGGAGACTACCTGGTGAGAGAGAGCTCTACAAAGCCTGGTCAATTTGTTCTGTCCACGAGGTTTGAAGGCGCAATAAAACACTTTATCATCCAGACCTCTGATGATGTGAGTACTGCTTTTTAGCGTTTTGGTTTGTCATTCCCTCCTTTGCCATCATTTTTTTGTTTGTTTGTTTTTCGAATTGTTCTCATTCTCTTCTTGTGATAACCACCGCTAACTGCTGCCTGGTTAGCTCAGCTGGGAGAGCGCCGGTCTGCTGAGCGCGAGGTCGCGGGTTCAAACCCTGGTCGGACCAACACTCAGGGTCTTCAAATAACTGCGAAGAAAGTGCTGCCTTTGTAATGACATCTGCAAACGGTTAGACTTTCTTTGGTCCCGTCTCACAGCACTTTCACTTATCTGGCTCTTTTGTGGCGTAAAAAGCACCCACACCACTGTTCGAGAAGAATAGGGAACGTAGACCCTGTGGTGTGGCCAATCTTTCCTGGACTGGGTGGGTTATCTGTAAGGAGAGATCTTAATATAGGGATAACCTGATGACTCTCCCATGACCCTCCTTCAAGTGTCGTACTGGCTACCTGTAACTGAACAATGTACGTATGTCGTTTCATAGGGCTTGGTGCGTTTTGAAGACAGGGGGTTCCCCAGTGTCAGGGAACTACTGGATTATCACGTGCAAAACAAAATCAACGTGACCAAGAAATCCCAGGCCATATTGGTCAACCCTGTTTTGAAGGAAAAAGACAAGTGGGAAATGCGCCGGGAAGACATCATTCTCAAGGATAAACTTGGCCAGGGCCATTTTGGAGACGTTATGAAAGGAATTCTAAAGCCTTCCAATTTACCAGTGGCCGTGAAATCATGCAAGGAGAGTGTTTCTGCAAGTGTGAAGAAGAAGTTTTTAGCAGAAGCAGAGATTCTGAAGCAGTATGATCATCCAAACATTGTGAAGCTTATCGGGGTGTGCGCAGACAGGGAGCCTGTTTTTATAGGTAAACTAATTAATGGGTACCCGACCCGTAACAATAATAGCCTGCGTTGCAGCTGTACTTGTCACCCAATACCTACAATCATGGACAAAAGTCTTGGAACACTTGCATTTCTGGGCGTTTTCCAATTCACACAGGTCCAACCTCTCCCCTCACCCCACAAACAATGTTGGACGCGTGTATCCAGAATTTTCCCCGAGTTTTAACTTTGTACAGGGTGGGGGGAGGGAAAACTGCCGGAAAATTTCGAAAAGGATGCGCTGTTTTATGAGGGAACCCAGAATGACAAAAAAATAATATTGCATTACTGTCCCAAGGACGTTTGTCCGTGATTGCAGATAGAGAACTCGATATAGTCCAATATATCGGGGATTTAGATGGTCTGTGGTGCAGGCTATAACAGTAACCGGCAAGCAGTTGAATATTCTATAAGCCTCTTTTTGCCTCCCTTCTAACAGGAACTGGCCAAATACTTATTTTACACCATGTCTTAGGTACTCTGCTGATAGCAGTCCGACTTTTCTCCGTCAAGTTACTTATCGCAGCAAGCTTGGTCGCAAAACAAGACGTTTTAACAGCAAGGGACTGGAAAGAGACGGCTCGTTTGAATCCTTCTTGTCCCAATTTTTATTTATTCTTCATTTACTTATTTTTTTATTATTATTTTTCCTGACAACAAGCAGTCTAATTTGCTGCCATATCACATATTCCGTGTTCTTGGGTCCCTTATTCGACGCTGAGGGATCTTTAATATGAGTATATTCCAGTTTCGAGTTCGCTATTAATAAGCGCCCAGGGCGGTTAATCGAATAAATACCGTATTTCATTTTCGGTTGGTGGTACAGAGCTGCACTAGGGGCAATTCCTAAGTCGATTTATAACAAACTCTTTCATGCTGTGTTTACCTTCTAGTGATGGAGTTTATGCCCAGTGGAGACTTCCTTTCTTATCTACGTAAGAAAGGCGCCCATCTAAAAACCAGAAACCTAATCAGGTTTAGTGTTGACGCAGCCTCTGGCATGGAGTACTTGGAGAGCAAGAACTGTATCCATCGAGATCTGGCCGCGAGAAACTGTTTGATTGGTAGCGACGATTCACTCAAGATTTCAGATTTTGGGATGTCTCGCGAAGTGGAGGAAGGTAAATGCAGGTCCTCCCCAGGGCTTTTCGCTAAGAAAATGGGAGAAGCCCTGGGTACGAGGTTGGTCCATATTGGTACGAACTAGGGAACTTAAGCACGCGCCGTTTTTGAGCGACGCACGTGAACCGGAAGGGCACTTTTTGCAATCTTGAGCTGCGATTTTGAAC